CACACATCTGACATGATGATGTCACAGCCTCACTGCTGATGTCACTTCCAGCAGGATGTCAAGCCTCGATGACATCACTGCTCGAAGATTTATTGATAAATATGATTTCATATCACAATAAACAGGAAAATAAATTCAATAAAATTTAAAGGAATTGAAATGTTGACCTGAAAGTGAGTCATTCATGCTTCATCATCTGATCATCTTAATAAAGCTGAAAACGAGCTGCTTTCTGTCTCCCTGCAGCTGTGATGGAAAAACCTGTGTGACATAAATACACCATCAGTACTTCTGATCCTGGGATCTCATCAGCTGATGCTGATAACACAGTTATTTTGAAATCGGAAAAAAAGCAAATATTGCAGTGAATTGATGCAACATTTGCAGTGAGCCAGTTGTTTGTGTGTCTGAATTATTAATAGCCTTTGATATCATTGTTATTCATCGTTTCTGTCTCTGTGCCTCCTCTGTGCTGTGTCATGCTATGTTCTCGTGTCTGTTCGTCCCCAGTTCAGAAAGCGCAGCAGGTTCCACTTCAGCACTTTAACTGCTGTTTGCACTTGTGGCAACTGTGAGAACTCCTCAAACGTGTCAAAGTAACGAGTCTGTTTTGAACATGTAAGCAGTAGAAAGTGCAGAAATTTGTGTACAAATGTGGGGAGTAAAAGTACAGTGACAAAGTATTTGTATTTCATTACTTCCTTCTGGTCACAATAATTGTCTCTTACATGGCGGGCCACATACAGCCTGCTGATCGACCAGTCGTCTTTGTGTCAGTTAAACAAGTTTAACTCCATATTTAATCCTGAAATATCCTAATATCCAATCCAATCCAATCCAATCCAATTTTATTTATAAAGCACTTTAAAATACCCAGCACAGGAACAAAGTGCTGTATAGAAAATAAGTTAAAACAATAGAATAACAGAAAACAGCAAAATAAATAAGTAAAACACATAAAACATAAAATTAAAACAGCCCAAGATTGAAACAAAAACAATATAAAACAGCATCGAATCACCTAAAAACAACTAAAATAAAAAATAAAACATCTCACGTGGCGTCAAAGGCTAAAGGTAAAAAGGTAAAAGGGTAAAGAGGTGGGTTTTCAAGAGTGACTTAAAAACAGATAAAGAA